AAGAAGAAGAAGAAGAAGAAGAAGAAGAAGAAGAAGAAGAAGAAGAAGAAGAAGAAGAAGAAGAAGCTTGTAAGGTAAGTATCGTATGCACGTATGCTTGTAGATGAGGACGGTGAGGTGAGGATAGGACTAGATGGTAGTGGTAAGTAGGGGGAGCGGGCAGTCTTTGGGATTGGTCGTGAGGTTTGCGTTGCAGTTTTGTTGTTTTTTTTCGAAGGAAAGTGATGGAATGCAATTGGAGAGGCGGCTGAGGGAAGATGTAGAAGAGCATGATGAAGATGATGTGGGCGTTGCGAAGTATGTACGAGTACGATGGATGATGTTCTTTCTGGGTCGAAGGGATGGGCGGTTCTGTATTTCATTGCTGTATATATATGTATGCAGGTATGCATGTATACATTGCTTTTCCTTCTGTACAGGTTGGGTTTCCTACTTCTAGAGTGTTGAGGGTTTACCAGATGCCGGGAGAGAGGATGGATGAATGTGCTCGAAGTCCCGTGTGCATACATGTCGTCCAGTATGAGAGGTTGTGTTGAGGAAGTTGTCTTGTAACACGTGATATTCATGTCAAGATCAACACGCAGGAGGAGAAGAAAAAAAGGGATCACATTGTTGCTCTTTATTTAAAATTCCAACATCCTATCCTAACAAAGGGCCTCAATCCTAAGATATTGGGGACTCCACACCCGCATAGAGAGCAATGGCCCTAGGAACATGTATAATATTTCACATGCGCACACGCACACGCACACACAATGACGACAACGACAAATCTACCGACGTCAAAATTTCACTTTCGTTTTAACTCTTTTTGTTTAAGCAGCCCAGAGCCTCTTGACGAGCTCGGTGATGCCGACGTCGTTGGTCTCGAAGGAGTAGAGGGAGAGGCCGAGGAGGACGGTGCCGATGCGAAGGGCCCAGTTGGCGCTGTTGAAGAGCAGGGGAACGCGCCTCTTGGGGAAGTAGTCGATGATGCAGGCCCTGTTGTTTCATTAATCAACTATTTTGAAAGTTTTGTTTCCAATTGATGGAGGAACCACGGTGGATTGGATATAAGACGTACTCGAAACCAATGTGGGAGTGCACGACGAGAAGAGCACAAAGGATGGAGTCCATGACGGGGTTGAGCGATCCTGCAGCGAAGGGTGCTACACACAACGGGATGAGGCCAGCAGAGATAGCCCTGTGTGTGTATAAATTAGCCATTGTATACCCCCAGTTGACGTTCATCGCGAAATCGCAATCCAGAATGTAACCCACCTCTCGAAACTCCAGTGGTAGCTTCCATGGCTGGGAGAGGGCGGTGGCACGGGTGTGGGATCGTTGGCCGTTCCGACGACCCTCTGGGGAGGTGCTGGGAGGATCTGCTGGCTCCTTGTGGCGTGGAATGCGGCGACTCGTGTGGACTTGAGGATCGAGGAGCGTTCGAATGCTGGGCGGATTTGCTGGGCCAGTGGTGACGATCGCTTGACGGAGGACGCTGCGAAGGTGGAGAGCATGCGCTGAGAAGCGGCGGGCGAGCAAGCCTGCCTGAGGAGGCCAGGGCGCATGATCGAAGCCATTGTGTGTGCGAGGGAGGAGGGAGGGTTATGCGGAGTGGGAGTGGAGTGGAGTGTTGATGTCAATGTCAATGTCGTCGAAGATGTTGCGGGATAGACGGAGGCTCTTGTCTTGGGCTTCCGAGGTTGTGGATGATGACCTTTGGAGCGATTTGATTGGCAGGCGTTCGCCCGGAATGACCCGCAAAATCTGAGAACTTCAGACTTCACTTGGCCAAGACTTTCTCACCACTTGCAAGCTCGCATCATCCCAATTCGATCACACACCTCAACCCATCAACCCGCCCATCCCCCTCCCCCATCCTCCCCCCTCCTCCTTCTCTCCCCAGCCGAGTCCGACGCGATCGAACGCAATGGCTTCCCGGCGGCTCGCATTGAACCTCCAGCAGGCGGCGCGCAGCAAGTCCGCCATCAACGCCATCAAGACAAAGTCTCTGTCACCCTTGACAAGAGGTCTCGCAACCCCCGTCACCTATGGCTCCAAGACCGAGTCCACCACATTGAGCAATGGCTTCACGGTATGCCGGACACCTACGGACCTGTCAGAATTGCAATTGACCCGATGGAACAGATCGCCACTGAGCACTCCCCGTGGGCACAAACCTCCACTGTCGGTGTCTGGATCGATGCTGGAAGCCGCGCAGAGACGGACAAGACCAATGGCACTGCACACTTCCTAGAGCACCTTGCTTTCAAGGTACGGATAAAATCCCAACCCCGTGGGCGGAATTGATGGAGGGATATGGAGAACTGACAAATTGGCAACAGGGAACCCAGAAGCGCACACAGCAGCAATTGGAGCTCGAGATTGAGAACATGGGTGGCCACCTCAATGCCTACACATCGGTATGCAATTTTTTCTTTCTCCAGAACCGAAGATGGATAAATTCGAAGACAGCATGCTGATGGAATTCACAGCGCGAGAACACCGTCTACTACGCCAAGGCTTTCAACTCTGACGTCCCGGCCACCGTCGATATCCTCGCCGACATCCTCCAAAACTCCAAACTCGAGCCCCAGGCCATCGAACGCGAGCGTGATGTCATTCTCCGGGAACAGGAGGAGGTTGACAAGCAGCTCGAGGAAGTTGTTTTCGACCATCTCCATGCCACCGCTTTCCAGGGACAGCCCCTCGGACGAACAATCCTCGGCCCCAAGGAGAACATCGAGAGCATCCAGCGCTCCGACCTCGAGACCTACATCAAGACCAACTACACCGCTGACCGCATGGTTCTCGTCGGAGCCGGTGGCGTCCCCCACCAGCAGCTCGTTGACCTCGCCGAGAAGTACTTCGCCCAGCTTCCCTCCGAGCCCACCGATGCTACTGCCCGCCGCATCGCCGAGGCCCAGAAGCAGAAGCCCGAGTTCATCGGTTCCGAGATCAGGGTCCGTGACGACACCATGCCCACCGCCAACATCGCCATCGCCGTTGAGGGTGTGAGCTGGAAGGACGAGGACTACTTCACCGCCTTGGTCACCCAGGCCATCGTTGGTAACTGGGACCGCGCCATGGGCACCTCCCCATACCTCGGAAGCAAGCTCAGCACTTTCGTCTCCCAGAACAACCTCGCCAATAGCTTCATGAGCTTCTCCACCAGCTACTCTGACACTGGGTAAGAAATGACATATGACGCAACTCTCATTGGATCGTGCACTGACAAATATACAGTCTCTGGGGTATCTACCTCGTCTCCAGCAACCCCACCAGCATTGACGACCTCGTCCACTTCACCCTCCGCGAGTGGTCTCGTCTCTCCATGAACGTCACCCCAGCCGAGACCGAGCGCGCCAAGGCCCAGCTCAAGGCCTCGATCCTCCTCTCCCTCGACGGCACCACCGCCGTCGCCGAGGACATTGGCCGCCAGATCGTCACCACCGGCCGCCGATTATCGCCCGAGGAGGTCGAGCGCGTCGTCGGCAACATCACCGAGAAGGACGTCATGGACTTCGCCAAGAGGAAGCTCTGGGACCGCGACATCGCCATCTCCGCCGTCGGCCAGATCGAGGGTCTCCTGGACTACAACCGCGTGAGGAACGACATGAGCAGGATGCTCTCATAAGCTCGGGATGGGTGTGGACGGGTTTTTTTAGACCAAGCGAGAGCGATGAAGAGAAAACGCTGTGTAGAAAGATGCTGACGATGGTTGCTGGTGGGAGAGTTGTGGACGGCACTGTATTTTGTGTACACTTAGCTGAACTGATAAACAAAGAAAGATTTCCTTCGCCCTTTACTTCAAAATCACAATTGTACATTGTTTCGGGGTTTGTTTCATCATCTGCACCTAATCTTTCTCTCGGAAGATCCGGGGACTCTTGCGTGTCATACCGCTTAAACTTCGATAGGCATATGTATCAGGAGTGATGATCACTAAGCTATATATTCCCATCTCGGGCCTTTCTGAGGAATTACTCCCTCGATCAAGATCGATGTTTGACACAGTTCATTCCGTATATAAGAATCCGTCACTTACTCACACATCAGACAAGGCCACAGACATCAACTAAGCCGAACTATAACCCTGTGTCTGCTTATGCTGTTTAAATCACCAGGTAGGTCTACAATTTTTTAGAAAAAATGAAAAGAAGAATTACTCTTCTCTTGTCAGATCTATTCTACTTTTCTCTTATTTCTCATAGGCAGTATTTAGATAGATTACTCTTGCCTTTGCAGATTGCCAGCGTTGTTACAACAAATGTATAATTAGTAACAGTAATGTACTTTTACCTGTGTGACTTGCTCTCTATGTATGCAATCAAGTAGCTTCTTATACTTAGGGGCAGGGTAACCTTGTTTTTTGTAAATACTAATATGTAGAACTTATAGGTGAATTTTAGAAAATTAACCTTGAGACACGTTAGTTGTAAGATATAGAAATAATAGAGTTTCAAGGTTCTATATACTTAAACTTCGAGGTGTAGTAGTTAAAGTATGTAGGTTCTTTGTTTATAGGTTAGGTGGAAATTACTTGTATAGGATGCTGATGCTCAAACTTGTCAGTGCTGGGAGGCTGTCAATGCTGAGAAGCTGTCGATGCTGAGGAGTTGCAGATGCTAAGGAGTTGTAGATGCTGAGGAGCAATAGATGCTTAGAGTATCTGAAATCTGCATCGTGTTATACATCAGGATATGTCGTTCATATTTAGATATATGTCAAGAATAGACCTTAAGGTATTCTGTTCTAGCTTTTAAGTTAGCATCTAGCCACCACAATTCTACCAACTAGTAGCTGTAATATCTACATGACAGTCAATTCTAAGCAGCTGAGCCCTTGGAATCTATTCCAGTAGTTATCTCAAATGATTGCCATGACCAAGTGAACCAGGTTTCTCTGGTCGAACTGATCTAAACAGCAGAGCTGCAAGGAAGGTTATTGTCTGATCTCCCACAAGCCTGCATATGAGAAGGCTTTTGATAGACATTGCATATTAAACACGAGACAGATTTCCTGTCTTGAATACTTGTGCCTGATACTCGGAACCAACCGAGGATTATATTAATTGCTGTATTCTTCCAAAATCTACTCAAATATTCTGCACCATGCAGCTTTATAACTTAATGCGTTACTGCTATACATCAGCCTTGTTGCTTCTGGAGATTTGCACCCTGCTCTGTTGCGGCCTGGTCTTGATGATTACTTTAATCTCACTGTTGGTGGACAACACAGCGACTAGGTCCAACATTAGATACTCTTGACGTACTCATGAACGAAATTCAACGTCAATGCATCTACCCATTGCTAGCCTCACGCCCTTCTAATCTGCCCCCACACCTCCCACAGCATATTATCTTTCATACAAGTACTTTTCCTAGGCGTAATGCTGGCGACTTGCGACTTACTCCTCTCGGCTAGAGTGACGATAGTGCCCAACACACACGACATGGGGTATAGGCAGGCATTCCGACTAGTTGCATATATCAAGAGATTCAAGACCACACCGCATGACCTTTTTGCATGATGAGAAGTCGGTCTAACGAAGCTGCCTGCCTACCAACTATCCAACCCACCTGCTCGTTACAACCAAGCAGGAGCAAGAAAGGGACAATGCCAGGAGAATTAGGCAAACGGTACACCCCACACCGGTCTGTAATCCCTCTTCACTTCATCGAAGGCGGGATGAGAGCTAAAACAAAGTAGAATTTTGCTCTGTGTAGAGTGTATCGTTCTCTCCATGAATCGATGAGATCTTCGTTTTTCGTATGATGCACGGTAATGCTGAGTCGTGTAGTTGACGCATCCCCAGGTTGAGATTATAGCATTTTTCGTTGGGGATGTTTCGCCTTGTAGTCAAGCCTTGTTGGCTGGCGTGCAAAATACTCACCTTTTCTTTTCTCGTACGCCTAAGATAGAATCATTATAATTGATACATTGGGTCTGTTTTATTTTTGGTCGGTCACCTTTCCCTTCTCTTTCGGATAATCGATCTCGTCTACCGTAAGATATATATTGTATGGGATATACTCGTACACACATGAACACACGTGTTGATGCATCATGCAGCCATCCAGCAATGGCAACAAACTAAACGACAGGGATTGGCGAGAAAGAAGGAAAAAAAGGGAAACAAAACACGAGCGAACCGAATGACCTGTTGCGGAGAAGAGGCGATCGTGTAATTGCTGCAAGTAGAAAGCAGAAAAGAGCAGATCAACCCATGCTCGCAGCCTCGCTCCCAACTTCCTCCAACCAGATGTCGCTGACTGCAGGTGCCTAAGGTACAGTAGTTGCCTGTAGCTTGTATGTGAGTTGTAGATGGGTGGGTGTTGTGACACCCAATGATCAATCCAAGTTCGGGAACACCGACCGGTAAAGATGAAAATGGGTATGCCGTTGCGGGCCCGTTGTCGAATACTTTGACGTTCTTTCTTTCTGTAGGGTGTATTTGTACGGAGTACATTCTCTTAAAATCTAAGAGTTAGAGGGGAAGGGTGAGGGGAGAAAAGGAATACATTTTCTTTTCATCCCTCACAGTATCCAACGTCCAAGCAAGCTGACCAACAACAAAGCATGCACTAACAATCATCACCAACAAGCGTGATATTTCGTGTCCACCTGCTTTCCAACCACGAACCAACACTCAATCCATCTTTCAAGGTTAATTTAACCCCTCTCCCAGAAACCCAAACATATCCCCACAATAAACCTCCCGTTAGCGAATCGAGGAAAGACGTTAGTTCCAAAAGCCGTACAGTAGATCAGAACATTGTCTTCGAGTCCGGCATAGCGCAAATAACGGCAAGGCAAGGCAAGCAACACTAAAGGCCATCGCTACAAAAACAGGTAAGGCAAGGTAGAGTAGGCAATCGTTCATGGTCTTTCCTTTTAATCTAAATGTTTCTTTATCCGGATTTTGCGGATGATCGCAATAATACCAGATACCCAAGGTAGGTTTAGGCTTGCATTGTTTCTCACGTCCGTGTTTGAGAAGGCTGACTCTCTTTCTCGAGGTTTGATGCTGTTCCGCTTTCAAATGAAAATTTCTTGCGAGGAAATGGTCAACGGTCAAGATTAGAAGAAGACGTGGAAGAATTAACGGGCAGATAAAATATCGGTAAAGCCCATCCTCCCCCCCAATTGCACTATGTCCCTCGTTTAGTCCCAAGCATGCGGCATAGAATGTACCCAGCGCCAGTCTAAAGGATCCCGTATCTCGATCGCATCTTCGAAAGGCCAATCCAAGTCCAAATCAAGATAAGTTACCTAGGGAGTTGTTTTACACTCTCTAACTCTCTTCCAATTCCCCATGAAAGCATACTTCAACAATATTATTGCAATGTTATATGCAGATGTTCGTTCGTCCTTTCGTCCTTCCTCCCCAAGCCTTGGTAAAAACCCGTTTCTGGAAAACCACCGTGCATATGGCGGGTGCAGAAATTGGGGAAAATTGGCAGTCCCTCCCCCCCCCTCTCGCGGATGCGGTATGTGGTGTGGTGGGCGCCGCCTGCTTGGGCTGGCGCTCGCCTCGCCTCGCTCGCTCGCTCACGCTCGTGGCGGCCACCGCGGGGAGGGAGGGGGGCATACCGTATCGGCCGAAAAGGCGGGTTGCCTGCCCGGCGGCGGCGGGCGCTGCGCTCGGGGAGGGCACTTGTAGCAAAGTATTTGGAAGGAAAGCACGCACGTATCGTCAGATAATTGTTCCACGTGCACCTTTTACCTACGGTTTTTTTACGAGGCTGGCAGGGGCCCCGAGGAGGGTTATTGGGCTCGGGTCATCGGAGGTGGGAGGAGCTATGCCGCTTGCGTGTGGGTTGATACGAGATGGGATGTTTCTGCGTTGTGACATTGCGTGCTTATGTTGTTGTATAATTCCTCAGTTGTCGAAGAGGTTGAAGCTTTCGTGCTGGTTTTCATATCGGATTGGAATTGGACCGATTGGTGGGTGAATGGGTGGTAATAATGGTAAAGCACGGCAAGGTAAGGTGATATCAGACTATTTGACGCTCTCGATAATATGCCGATGGGGGGAGGAGGAGGGGCTTCAGATGCGGCATGGCAGATTCCGAGATATGGTACACGAGGGGAGGATACGAGTGATATTAGTGTGCATGACTGTAAGAGCAAAATTTATCCCAACATGGATCAGTAATGATCGAAGAACAATTAACTAAATAATGTCACGCTTTGCCTACCTACTGCCTGCACGAATGAATGATGGATGACAGGAAGAAAAAAACGAAAATGGAGGCGCTCTTACTTGTCCTACTCGGACTCCGACGAACGCGGCTTCATGACTGTAATTGACCACGTTCGTTCGCGATAGAAGAAGTAAGCTGATCATTCTGCTTGCTGTGCTGTAGGATGCCATGACAGTTAAAACGCCTCCGTATTCCCTTCTGTCTTTTCTCTGTCTGTAATCGTGATGCTGCAGAAGTAGAGTCCACAACGTCTCCACTTGACACAATTTCCAACAAATACCTAGATAAGGTCTTACCTGCCTTAGGTAGGTAGTTTATTTTGACTAGAAAGGGGAAAGGCAGTCTTTGCCCTGTACGGCGCGATTAATCAGAGGACTTTCGACACGCTACTGTGTATCTTCCCGTGTCAGCTTGCTCTCGGGAGCGGGCGCGTTTGGCGTCAAATACGTATGTGCCTGTGCCTGTGTGTGGTGGGAGTGGTTTGGTGGCTTCGAAGCCGAGCTTCTGCTGCTCGTGGGGAATGACCCGAAGACATGGATACGCATCTCCATGGTTATGGACTTCTTCCGTTTGATACGAACTGCATGCACCGTCTCCTTAAACATTGTAGGGCTTAGCGGTTTTGCTCGAAAGTTCCTTACGCTCAATTCTATGCAGCAGAAAGCCGTCGTCAGATCGTTTTCATTTCACACGGCCACGATATCAGCGGTCAAGCAAGTAGCTATGTGAAGAGTTCCATTCCAGTTGTCAAACGCTGCTTCGATGTGTCGAAGCCTAGGATATATTTAAGCAATAAAACAAGGGACCCCATCAGTGGCCGAACTAATAGTCCAAAACCCTCCACACAATTGAGCCCTACATAGACTGGTTATGCAGTAAGAAAAATGTATACTGCATCAGCTATAGGCTGGAAAGACCGAGTGGCTCTTCTTTCTCTGCTCTCGGCTAAGCGAGTGGTAATAGTCGTGAAATATAACCCTGACCATGGGACAAACTGGACAACGTGCAATTGCATGCGTTGTATGATTCCAACATTAGAAAGAAAGAACAAAAGATGACTCCGCCATGCGCCGAGCTTCGCCAGAATCCTGAAGCCGATGTAAAGGGGGAAACTACAGAAGAACAAAATGAACGCCCAATGAACCTAGTGGTAATGCTGTGAAGTGGACATAAAAGGGCAGCGCAGTCGCAGATGCCGCAGATTGGGGAAAAAGGTATCGTGTGCAGAAGAGTATAGCCGGTTGGCGAAAATGAAGTCTAGGTGGTTTTTTTTTCCGGTCGATGGAACGTGTTCTTGGTTCCACGGAATGTCTGGCGAAGCGAATGCATCGCTCGAGTTGAGAATCGAAGGAATAATCGTGGTCGAAGGTAATGTAATGGGAACAATATGAACGCCAGTGTTTCAGCCCGTGCCGCTATGCAACGCTTGTAAACGCAACGCAATTGGTGTACTGCGGGGTGGTGTAGGTTGTGTATGTTGTGAGGCGGTGAATGATAATGATCACCTCATAATGCTGATGTGCGGATTGGGTGTTTGCGATATTATCATAATGTCGGGGAGGAGTGCCGACTGTTGTCACCATGCTGCCCGAATGTCGAGTCTCGTAGGCAGGAGGTTCAGTATGTAGTTGGATGTGGCTGTTATTTGATGCCTCGGCCTTTGACTTTTCCTTTGCCCTTCGCAGCACCTGCAGATGTGATCTTACTCGTCTGCATGAGCTCACCGATGTAACTAAGAACGGTATTAGGCAAGCCGGAAGAATGAACGTTGGTGGGGCAGGACTCACGATTGGAGGAATTTGTTGCCACCCTCGAGCTTCTCGTGCTCTGATTTAACGATCTCAACGCGGTCTACAATCTCCAGTAGGCTTGCTTGAAGAGCTTTCGCTTGTCTGGCGAAGGTCGTCAGTCTAGGTGTCCCAGGGCTTCGGAGGATGGTAGGTAAGCATGGAGTCACAGCAATGCATAGTAATGTGTGCTGAAGCCCCGACGACACGGTAGGAATGATTGATGTCATCCATCGTGAACAATGGTCGCATTGAAGTATGCGGACCCCGGGTGTCTGCCCAGCACACGAAGAAGAAAAACTATTACTCACTCCATGAGTGCCTGTCTGGCTTCTTGGCCCATCTTCTCGATCTCCTCACTGCTCCTCCGCGGACTCATGGTCCTGGCATCACCGTCGTCATATTCCTCCTCCTTAAGCTCGACTTGAGGACTATCGCGTGGTATGATGATGGTTCCGCTCGACTTCCTGCTCCCGAGACGAGGTCGGGTGAGCTGGTTGGGGTCCGTTTTGGCTTGGTCCTGTTCACTGACAGACGACGTTGACGAGGTCGAGCTCATGTCGTCGGGGTAGGAATGTCTCCGGTCAATGGAAGTGTGGTCGGTGGTGACAGACGGGAAGGGAGTAGTCGATGCAGGATGCTGCGACATTTCTTTTGAAGAAAGGTACGCAGTGCAGTAGAGCAGTTTCGCCTGCCGTCCGATCTTTTCTGGTGGTGGTGGAGGTGGTGGAGAGGAGTTAAGGTTAGTGTATTAGGTATGGAAGTAGTGGTAGAGAAAGTAAAGTAGGAAGTAGTGCGTGTGCAGAACCGTACAGCACCAGAAGAGTAAAGAGTACAGTCAGTCCAGTAGTGCAGTGCAGCGCAGTGCAGGACAGGGAAGGACAGGGCAGGTATGGTGCAGTGCGGCGGGAGCAAATGTGGGCAGGGTGGCAGGGTGGCAGGATGTAGATGCTGGCCGGCTGAGAGATGCCGTTAGATCCAGTGGGTAGCGGATGCCAAGTCAGGTAGATAATCCAAGGTTGGCGTGGTTTCCGAAGCGGCTAACAATCCAGGGTCCGAGAAGGCGTGCCCCTGTTTTCGGAGTCTTTGCGGAGCAGGAATGCAGGAATGCTTGCTCGCCTGGATGATGACTGTCTGTAGGTCGCTCGCAACGGACGGACTGGGTGGAGTCCTTACAAACAAACCTTTGCTGTACGCTCCTGAGTCCTGGCGGGTTAAAAGGCTAAGGAATGCGGTAATGCACTCTTGATATCCCGCGAGTAATTAAATGATACTAAGAACACCTCTTCTGCTATCCGAGCCAGTGTGACGTGCCAGGCTAGTGACCAGTAGTCGAAGTATGGATGTAGTCGGGTGTGGTAGGGAGTACACAGTATCGAGGTGTAGTTGGCCCTCCTACGAGTAGGTAGTGGTGAATAACGGCGACAGGCAGGCTGCGTGCAGAGAGACGGTAACAGATAACAATCCGAGAAGACAAGGCCACCACTCACTCCCCGAGAAAGTAAGCGCGCGAGACGAAAGAGTTTTCTTGCGTTGTGTAGGAGAATAATGGACCAAGATAGTTGAGGAGGAGAAGAGAAAGCCGACGACGTGGGACCTGGGTGATGGCGCGCGCGGCGAGGTGCAGCCAAAGAGAAGCCAGAGAGGCGACGTTGGTGTGGATGAGGAGAGTTAGGAAGGAGGGAGAGTTAAAAAAAAGAGGGTATTGAGGGTCAAGAGGAATTAAGAGGGTCAAGTTGCAATCAACTATTGAAGTCGTTTGCCCGCCTTTGCACTGCAAATGCACTGCACGGTTGCGTTGCGTGGGACCCCGTCAGATTGACGCCGAATACTGCCTGGGGGGTATTGCAAGCACTCGGACAGACGAGGGAGCGGACCCAACAGCTTAGCTGGCGGCGCGTATCACTGGCTACTGGGAGTAGGTTGACTGGATCCGCTTGTATGTAGATCGACGGCCGCGTGCTCAAAACCAGGCGCGGAGTCCACTAAGCCAGGCTCTGTTCTTAGGTTGGACAGGCAAGTAAATAAGCGGTGGGCGGTGAGGATGAGCGGATGCTTGGTTGCAAAACAGGAACAGTAGCAACTCATCAAAATCAAATGCTCGATGAGAAGAGACGAGTGGAGGACTCGAGAGGAGGGAAACGCTCGGGGAAAAAGAGACGCACGTTACACGGAAGAGTGTTTGGAAATGGTCAGTGTTCGTGGGTACGAGGACAGTGGCGGACCAACAATGGTTAGAGCGCCTCTAAAAAGTGTAGACGTAGACAGGTTGCGATGACGCAGGGCAAAAGGAGCCGCAGTTGAAAGAGGCTCATCGACACATAAACACAGTAGTGAATTGAACACGGTATTGCGAGAACAAGGCCGGCGTCTCGTAGAAATGATTCACGGCGGATTCGGCGAAACAGCGACGCGCTGCCTTTTTCTTTTTGGATGATCTTGAAGTTGTAGCGTGTTGTGGATGAGTTTCATGGTTTCCTTTCTTTGGTGTTGTATGTCTTCGTCAACACTATTCGTGTTCTCATCCCATACTGCGTGCATGCACGGTATCTTCTTTGATCATCCCTTTTCCTTTCTTTTGCTCTGCTCACTGTTGCTCTACCTGTCACTGCGGTTTCTGTTCTGTCCCCCCCGCGGGGCGAATGTGACGATATTACTGCTTGGTACTGTGCTGCCATCCCCGGTCGATTGGGGAAGGAGAGGCAGCTGCGGAATGACTCTCCCAGGACCAGGATAGACAAGAAGAGGTAAGGATTTGCGGGATAGACAGAATGAGATGGAAATGGATAGGATGATGAGGGTGTGTAAGGGTGGTGACTGGTAATAGACGGTTAGGATAGGCTGAGGATGGTTGGAGGTGGGAAATGGGGGAATGTTGTGGCCTCCTTCCACCGTCGATCTAATGACGTCGTTGAGTCGCCAATCGCCCCTAATCGGGAATTAGCGTAACCCTTGGCACGTCTACATCCCTGTCAACCCTGTAGATGCCATCCGTCCCTGCAAAACCACTTACCATTCACTCCTTCATTCACCTCTAACCACTTACCACTTACCGCTTCTGATACAACTTGACGACAACCACCACACGACAATCACGACGACTCGACACGACGACCCCGACGTCCACCACCACCATCATCATCGTCAATTATCACCATATAATACAATACGGACTACAATAGTCCATCATCATCGTCTCGTCGTCAACGGAGCTCTGACGAGAGCACTGACACCCAGCTATAAACTCCACACACTCCCGTATACCGATGGCAATAATACAGTAATGATAATTCTTCAGCTTGCTTTCCTTGACGGACCCACCACCACCATCATATCCGTCCATCCATACATCCATGATCCATCCCACCCCCCCAGTCCACCCCAGCTACGCCAACCATCCCATCCCATCGGAAGGAGGCCCTGACGTCGACAGGTTGCCCTGTGCTTCTTCTTCTTCGTGTCTATTCTGCTTCTATTTGGCCCCGCTCTATTTCCGAACATCCCGCTAATGTTTGCCTGCCATGCCACTCGCCCGTCTGCAAACCGTCACTCGTTACTTTCGTTCGTGATAGCCACTCCCTCAAGAATGGCGAACAGCGCGCCCCGCTGCTGATTCCAATGCACGCTCAATGCCGCTATCGTGTACGAGCATCTCCTCTCCACCATTGTTGAGCCCCAGTGCCCCTCCCCTTAGAAGTGCATGTCAAGTCTCCCAGAAGTGTGTTCATACTCTCCGAGTCCGTACCACGGGAATCTCCCTGAAGCTCATGCACTTTGTTATCCTTACGCATCTTAGCCGGCAAGCCGTTGGGCCACGTTGCCGGCGGAGAGGGCGACTTTGGACGTTACCACTTCGTCTCGGCACGCCGCACCACACCATGCTCTCTTCTTACAAGTACAATTGCGATGCTGCCAACCTCTCTTCCTTCCTTCACTATGAGACAATATGCACTGCCGATCCCTTCCGCACGGGATAGAGTATGAGGTCAATACATATGAGGAAGTCGTCTAGGGTCATCAATCATCAGGCGCCGGTGCCATTCACAGTTTGAGTATCATGATCGTCGGGTCGGCTGCCTATGGACCCTGCGTGTCTGTGTACACCTTGGATACATTATCGTATCTCATTTCAGGTCACATGTGGGACCCATGGCCGAATAGTTTGCTACCTTTCCTGTCTAAGGATGCGTCCCGTTGGTGCACTAACAAAAGCTCACAGCAGCCCCAATTTACTACAACAATATTTCTCTCTTTAGGCAACCCCACATCTCACCAAATTCTGATCTACTGCCCAAATGAAAACATGGCTAAGTGGGATCGGCTTGGGGCATGAGAGCTCTGCCCTTTGAAACCATCCTCGACGTCCTCATTTTGTTCAACGTTCAAACCTCTTTGCTACACTAGGCGTAGCTTCAGACAGAAGCGTCTATTGAATTCTCCGTTGAAGATCGTTCACCAAATCTCTATCAACCGTCAAGTGGACGCTGGAGGGTATATTGCCCGGTTCCCCTGGCCTTGGAAGCCATCTCGCAATCGACACTCTACCTTCCTTACGTGTTTCCATGCGTTTCGGGTCCGGCGATCTTATACACGCCTCAAGATATTATGACGCGGATTATCATGCGCCGGTGCCACCTTTTCTTTGGGAATAGTCCTTCCTCCATGGTCTTACCGATCCATATCCTCAACCTTTACGGTCTTCGTAACTGTGCAGCCCGTTGTCTCTAACCTCTTCATCTAGTGCTCTTTGTATCACAAGTGGATTTGGAACTGCCGTAATTCGCCCTCATTTCATTCTATTTATCCTGGATGAGATGCTCGATTCACTGCTTACTTGCACAGCGATGATCACTTGGGAGCGAGCCATTGCAATTGGCGCTTCCAACATTGACAGGTGCGTAGATGCATTAATAGCAACGCATTCCTGGAAGTGTCTGCAGCTGCACCCGTGGTTGGTCGGAGTCTCGTACATCTCCTTGCGTCCCATAAGAGCGGCCGCATGGCACAATGTGGGATAAGCTGTTGCTCACGAGACGACACGGGATGTTCTACTGTGGCGTATCCATCTTTGCGAGAACAGATGCTCCTCCAGCCTCCACCGGTTGTCGAAAGAATGGTGGCCTATCTATCGTCGAACGAATGATGTCGTCAGGTTGTCGCCCATACTTGTATCGCAGGCCTGCATGGCGTCGCATCGATTATGATCGTGTCGTTGTGGGTGTAGGTGCATGTATTTGATCTGCGGCGGGGAGAGGAGGCCTCACCGATCTATGTCTCCAACCGAGCTTTACTGCATCATCTAAATTCGCGTAGGGTGCTATTCTTCACGTCGAGTTGCTGCTGCGAGAGCGATGCGAGATGAATAAAATGCACAGATTCAAGCGAGGCAAAGAAGCGCAGGTCTTCTTGCAGCCATCTCTAATTTGCAGTGTACCATTGCTCATTCATGAGACTACTTGCGGGTTCAGAGCGCTAATGTCTTACACCACCCCATCCTCTAGGCACCTTTCTTCTCGAACGGAAAAATCCATTGATGCTGGGGACCTGGTTCAAGATGCCTTCAGTGTACTGATCCAAGTCTTGGTATCCTTGCGCCTGTATACATCGGCCCGACAGCAAGTATGCAGGGCAGACACAGGATTCATCCCTGGTATCTGGGATTAATACATTGCACGATCTGTTCAAACAGGTTCTTTCGTCTCGCACCCTATTTCGCCGACGAAGCTACGAACAAGACTCGGCTACTGGTACGGAGTATGGAGTTGCCTCATTTCGAAACCCCACGGGTCGCCTCACAACGGTGAACCGCTTGTAGACATGTTCGGTTCAATATTTGGGTGGGGATGACAGGCGACTCTGACGTACGATGGGGATAACGAAAACTATCAAATGGAGCAACTGTTAGTGAAACCTGCGTGGAACGGCTTACGATCTCTCCATGTGTCTACAAATCCGACAAGGGGTGGCACGAATCGAGGTTGGTATTCGTTAAGAGTTCGGTCAGGTTTCGGTCAATAACGGGCAAAATGTACACGAGTACACGCAGAGTTGCTATTGTATCGATATATTAGAGACGCGACATCCCATATATCAAGTTGTCTTAAGATTATTTTGAGTATTCTCCATTGGAACTTATCAGATGATATTACCCTATAATGCAGCGTTTCCAATAATAATGTATTGTCCAGTCGGTGGCGGAATGACTCGCACGTCATTGGGCAGCAACACCCAATATATTGCACCAGGTTGAGCCGATTCTCGCAGGACCCTGATCGGAGGAAACTTCCGAACATGAAGCAGGCAAATTCTAATTGCGTTCCAGTTGAGACATACTGAAAGCATTCTCCAAGTTTCCGTTCACTAGTTGCTGGAAGTCCAGTTGCGATTGCGTTTCTACATAGTATGGATGTTTTCGAGCGTTTCTTAGTGTTGCCTGATCGGGCAATAGCGCGCTCATGATGTCGTTGAAACTAGCCCCCGTTAGTTGCGAGGCGACCGGCAACGCCTCTTCCAACCTCCCAATTAGCAGAACCTTGAACGACATCAAGACATCAGTCGGAGAACACCGCCATTTCATAGCTGGTGCACTGCTCTTGCCGAATAGTCAGTCAATGATTCGCCACCTCGAAGAATCTTGTCTGTCTTGGTAGATTCTAATAGCGGTTCTATCAAACATCCATCCGTGTCGCGTTGCTTGGGCGGCTCGTGAGTGCAGTTGGCAGAGCCATGCCTGCGCTTTTAGAACTTGCCGTACGGGCTCTGGAGGTCTTCGGTGGATTTGATAATGGTCCGATATAATTCGTACTCCATTGCAATCTAAACTACTAACATTGACAAAGGCAGAGATCAAATCCCTCTGCGAGGAGAGGTTCATGGCGTGAAGTGTGAGTACCTAATTGGTTTTCTTCCATCTCAACATGTCGAGAGATTGAACAAACTGCAAAAATAAATGATGACATAGTAGCAACATATCAGACCCTAAGGAGAAGAGGCTTTTATCTTTCATGCAAGAGCTTGGAAATCCAGATATCAAGCCAAACATGAGCATGGTCAAAGTTGGGATCTGACAGTAACTAGCTACACCAACGGCATCAAAAACATCCATTCCAGACTACTTCCAAACAACAGATCATCATTTTGCTGGTAAAACCACTCAAGTTTAACAAGAATAATCCACGCTTGGAAAGAGAACTCATTGTACCCAGGACCTACACAAACAGGTGCAGCACCGTGGCTTGCTCAGACCAATCTCGCACCCTTCGCGGGAGTGTCTTACATACCGAATGCTCCTCTGGAGACCCAAATTCCCGTGCCAGGAAACACTAAAAACCAAAACATCTTCCAGAGTCTTGCCAACCTTTCCCCTTACTTCCCTCATCCGGATGGCTTTGGCGTCAACGAATATCCCATACCCCCGGGCTCCAACGTCTCCTGGTTAAACATGGTTCACCGCCATGGCAGTCGATATCCCGAGTTCAGCGGCAGAGCACCAGAACGAACGCTTGGTGCTAAGATCATGGCTGCAAAAGGAAACTTCACAGCTCATGGGCCATTGTCGTTTCTCAACTCGTGGGAATTCCTACTAGGTGCCGAGATATTGGTTCCTATCGGTAAACAGGAGTTGTTCAACTCTGGAACTCTGCACTACTACCAGTACGGACATTTGTATCCCAACAATGGAAGTAAGATTATTGTGAGAAGTACGACGCAGCAGAGGATGCTGGAAAGTGCAGAATACTTCCTAGCTGGGTTCTTTGGTTTGGGGTGGACTGGGAATGCCACTCTGGAATTGGTGATTGAGGAGGACGGACTGAACAATACTATGGCCGGGTATAAGGGCTGCGAGAACTCAAATTGGGATGTTGGTTACAATGGTGAGTCGTTTGCCGAGAAAGAATTCGACGGAAGGCGTCTAACTTACTGCACAAAGCTACCATGACATGGGCCAACGTGTACCTTCAAGATGCACATAAAAGAATAACGGAGAACCTCGAAGGGAACCTGGACTGGACAGTGGAAGATACTTGTAAGTATTCCCAATCATGACTGGGTACTGAAGAAGCCTATGTATACTAAGCTATACTAGATAATGCACAGGCTCTCTGTGCGTATGAGACCGTCGGCCTTGGGTTCTCTTCATGGTGCGGTTTCTTTACCTTTGAGGAATGGGAGGGCTTTGAGTACAGTCTGGATGTTGGGTTCCACGCTGGCGTGGGTTGGGCTTCCCCAGTGGGACGAGCTATCGGTATAGGTGAGTTCCATCAGCTCGACTTCTCAGTTGCACGAGATACACTATTCCAATCAGCAATACTTTAATTCGCCTAACATACTGACAATCACGCAGGCTACGTCCACGAAGTCCTCGCCCGCCTCCACCACCACACCATAACCAAGCCAACTGCACAAATCAACCTCACCCTCGACAACAACACGCACACCTTCCCCACCCACCAAACCCTCAACCTCGACTTCTCCCACGACGCAAACATCATCAGCATCCTCGTCGCCTTCGGCCTCACCCAGTTCAGCGGCCACATGCCCCTGACCCACATCCCACCCTCCCGCAATTTCATCCTCTCCCACCTCGAGCCCTTCGCCGGCAGACTCGATATCGAACTCATCCACGCCCCCGCACCCGTCAACCCCAACCGTACCGTCCCCGCGGATCAAATCTACCTCGACGGCGGCGGCCCCACGAACTACGTCCGCTTCGTGCTCAACCAGCGCACCATCCCGCTAGGGAAGAGCCTCGAGGAGTGCGGGGATAGGGACGACGGGTGGTGTGAGATTGACGCCTTCTACACTGCACAGAAGAGGCAGATCGAGCGTGTGGACTTCGACTTCGCGTGTTTCGGGGAGTATGATAGGGGGAGGTATGGGGATGTTACGGATGGAAGGCCCCCTGTTGATCGGGAGGTGGAGAAAGGGGAGGTTGCTGAGGGAAGGGAGAAGGGAGCGGAGTAGAGTCAAGGCGACACATATAAGATACACAGACCATGGGGTTGATTGAACTTTGTATATTTTACATAACTTGACTCGGTATATGAAGAGTCCCTGATGTTTCTGGTGCTGACGCCGGGACTATTGGCAGCATAGTCCCCTGGGTTGCAAGCTTAAACTATCGTTATACTTACTTTGTATGCAAGAATTTTTCCGTTCATTGATAATTCTCATCCCACAGTACATCCCCAGTACCTGAATCATGAATTCAGAATTCTTCATCCTTCGGCCTCAATGTCTTGATATGCGTTAGACTTGTGCTTCGGCTCGAACCTGAAGTCTGGATGAGCTGGGCCGAGGAACATTTCACTGTTTCAATAGTTAGACACCTGCAAGAAACGACGATATCGGTTGTGTATGTACCTGATCTTAATCCAGTCCTTGTAGTTATCGCTGCTCATCAACGTCTCGAGCTCATTGCGGCCCTTGAACGACGGCGCGCGATCTTGGATATTCGGCGGCAGATGCTCCAAAAGCCCAATCGGCACGTAACGGCACGAGAACGAGAGCCACTCGAGCAAGAAGCGCCTTGTCGTTCCGATACCCAACTCATCGGAGCCCCAAGTCTGGAGACCGTACTTTGCGAACTTCTCGACGTACGCGAGACGCTCGGTCGCGGACTTATCCAGATACTGGCCCTTCTCGATCTCCTCGAAGATCCAGGGCTTGATCAGGGCGCCACGGGCCACCATGACGGAGTCGACTTTGGCGTTATCGATGGCGTTGTAGTAGTCGACGTGGGAGTAGCAATCGCCGTTGCCGCAGAAGTAGACGTGGCCTTCGTTGGCGAGGTCGCGGGCGTCGGCTTCGCGGATCGTGTCGGTCTGGGCCGACTTCTCGCGCTTCAGGCGGTTGATGAGGGCGGCGCATTCGGCGATGTAGGACCAGTCTGCGCTGCGGGTGTATCGCTGTGCATTGTTAGATTAGAGGAGACAAAGGTCTGATGTGCTATGTAGCGATTCGTCTTTGTGTCAATTCAGAATTTTCAGTGTAAATTTGAAAGTCCTCATGGGTAATAGGACAGCTCCAATAAAGGAATTCATCTTTGGAACACGATGGAGAAGGCAGAAATGAGATGTAGAGATTTACTTGCCTGTTGTTTGCTTCTGCCATGGAGGGTGATGGCGGCGACTCCAGAGGCGCCCTTTCCAGACTCAACGGCTTCAAACCCACCGAGCACAAGACGCTTGACGAGTTTATCGGCAGTAGGATAGCCATCCTTCGTACCCATGCGAATTTTGACAGTAATAGGTGTTTCGCCAGAAACATAGTTCATGCCCCGCAATGTGTTTTCTAGTTTGCTGGGCTGGTCAAGGAGAGCCGATCCGGACCCTCCTTCGCAGACCAAGTTGATAGGACATCCACAGTTCAGGTCAATCGCACGGAGACTAGGGCAAAGTGCAGTGAGAACCTCCACAACCTTGGTAGCCAACCAGGGTTTATTCGCAGCGATCTGGGCTCCGAATTTGAGGTCTTTGGAGTTGTCGTATCCACGAACAACGGTGTTTTTCTCAAGAACTCGGGGCGCGCGGACTTCGGATTCGTGGGCCTTCATCAGCGCCCATTCGCCCTTCTCGCCCTGCAAGAGGGGGAGACCCATGGCCATCTCAGACCAGGTGACTTGAGCTCCGAGTTCCACACAGAGGCGGCGGAAAGGCAGGTTGCCTTGTGTAGTGAGAGGCGCGAGTACGGGTGTCTCGGGCCCGTAGTATAGGCGACGCTTCTCCGAGGGACGGAATGGTGGCTCAAGGTACTCCGCGCGTCTGTCTTCCAGCTCTTGATCGGCCTCCTTCTCTTCAGGCTTACGGTCGTAGTATTTTCTTTCGGCGTCCATGACGGAATTGGTCCACTGAATGTACGCATCTGATTTTGGCGTCTCGGTCCTCCGCCGGGAGAGATTGATCTTCTCCAACTTTGGAACTATGTTTGCAACGCCAACTTCACCTTCGGGCCCAGCCTCCTTCTCTGCCTTTTCTTTGAGTTCGGCATTCTCCAGAAGAACAAGCTCTTTCCTGCCATCCTCGGTTTCGCGTTCCTCGGAGTGGCTCTTGTGGAAGCGGCACTTCCAGCCCAATGGACACATGCCTCTGACTTCATAAACGGGGCATGCTCCACCGAACGTCGTCAAATCTTCACGTCGTCCTTGAGTCAAGTACTTGCGTAGGTCGTGTTCCATACGACATTTCTCGCCGAACGGGCATTCCTTAGGAGAAAATTCGGGAGATAATGCACGGGTGTTGCAAAGCTTCAATTTGTCGTGCGACGAGCCAAACTTACGGCTCGTGTTCTGGCCTGTTTGCTTCTTTTCTTTCTTCTTGTCTTTCCAGTTTTTCTTATTATTTCGAGAGTCCCTGGCATCAGTTTTCTGATAGCGATCATCTGCAGCTTCAGCGGCATCATCGTCCGCAGCGCCAGACCTCTGCACCTCGACTTTGTTTCCAGTCGGGCGCAACAAGAACCTTTTACTTCGTGTCAATAAAATTGTAGAAAAGGCATCGACGGCCTCACTGACTCTGATTTGATTGGCGCAACTCCCTTCTGTCTCTTTGCGGGCACTTCTGGCTCATTCTCTACGGTGTCAGGTTTAGCACGCTTTCGAGGACTCGAGGGTTCAACGATATCGGCACCTGTGATAGCAGCTCCATTGCGCTCAATGTTCTCTGCTTTGGTGGTGGCCGAATCCTGAGGTAAGATTGGTTGCGCCGGATTGGCGGAATCAATGTTGTTTTCAGCCATGATTTCAGTCGTGTAATATCGAATAAGGCGCAGAACACCTTTCGAATGGAGTGTTGCTTTCTATATTACTTTCGATATGAAGCTCGTGGGGTCAAAAGTTTTTGGAGGTAGTAGAAGAAGGCTAAACCCAAAATGGGTGGTATGTGGCACGGACCGCCACTTTGCGGCTGTTTTGGAGGTGACGTATTTCTTGCGAGCTAGTTAGGCAGTTGCTTGTCTCTTCTCGCTTCTACTCTTCTTCATCCCACTTCTTCTCTCTATTCTTCCTCTTCCTTCTACATTCAACTCTTCAAATACAACCTCTCTTAACACTTGTTGTGTTCTCATAGCACAATCGTAAAGGGCTGTTGTCCTTTATTCACCTCCGCGCCCTTATAACAAACCTACGAACGACCCATACATCGCTATCGCGTGTTGTGATCTCGCGGACACGTAGCAATCATGACCCTCTACTACAGTCTGGTAAGCTTGAGCCCCTCCGAATGACCGGCATTGAATAAGTCACACTATCGTGGACTTCATTGGTTGATGGCGTCGTAACCATGATACGACCCATTGCTCCCCGTTCTACCACTGTAATGGCCCTGCTTACTCACAATCATCTCGCAGGTCTTCCTCCTCTTGGTGACGGAGATGCTCATCTTCCTCGCCTTGATCATCCCAATTCCTTTCACATGGCGCCGCAAGCTGTTCACGTTCATTTCGGAGAGTCCCTTGGTGGCCAAGTTACAATATGGAATGAAGGTACGGAATTGCCGTATGCGCACGCTGCATTTGCAGACATACTCATTCGCTCACAGATAACTTTTATTTTCATTCTCATCCTTTTCATTGACAGCGTCAACCGTGTGTATCGCGTACAGGTTGAGCTCGCTGCCTTCTCCAAGACTGACAACGGTAGAGGGTATGTCTATATTGCGAGATCATTCCGCGCCAGATACTAATAAGGATGCAGAGCTGCCGTGATGGGCGGATCCGAGCGCATGGAAGTCCAAGCACGCAAATTCTACTCCCAGCGCAACATGTACCTCTGCGGCTTCACCCTATTCCTCTCCCTCATCCTTAACCGAACCTACGTCATGATCCTTGATGTTCTTCGCTTGGAAGAGGAGGTCAAGTCTCTCAAGGGTGACCCTGCCGCTAAGACCAAGGGCTCGTCGCTCAAGGATATTGGTGGCGCTGGTGAGGTTGGCCGTCTCAAGGAAGAGCTCGCAGCAAAGGATCGCGATATGGAAAACCTGAAGAAGCAGGTTGAGAACATGCAGCAAGAATACAACCGCATGGGCGACCAAGTATCCGCCTCCAGCAAGTAATTGGCTCCAATGCTACCGAAAGGCTAGTAGAGGGGATCGATTAAAGAGTTTGAAGGGCAATATGATTTGGCTCTTAGGCGCTGATGTCGAGATCAGCCCACGTTCGATATTGGCTGATGTTTGGTGCCTTATCGCCTGAAATAGAAGCTAATCACGAGCGGGAAAGGGGAGGATAGAGAGAGCAGACTTTCGGCTTGGGCGGCCGAAAAATACATGAGTGCTTCTAGCATTGTTGGTAGTTGGTGTTCAAAATGGGTAATATATCATCTCAATAATTGATGTTGGATCTTTCATCTCAAAACAACAATATTCGGTTGGTCTTTTGGAGGTGGCACTATGACGTAGCAGCCGAGGCCCGCATGTGAATTCCTTCGCTTCGAGAGTCGTATGTTCACCGACACGACAAACGCTCCAAACCATCAAAACTGAAGGTAACTCTCTACAATTGAACATTGGCTTGTAAACAGATCTACACCCAAAGATGCCCAAAGGATCAGCTGCAATGACAGGGTTCATGAGCTACCCCACGCCTAAAGCTCACAACATCCCCCACCAAACACACGCTGCGCCTCAGAATCCGGTCGTTAGGGGTACTCTACTCCATTACCTCTCTTCAGTGTTCGTATGCGAGCCCGGTTAAAAAACAGTACTGATAGAAATAGCGTGTTGTCTGTTCCGTTGCTTCCTTGGGTACTTTGGAATAATGCAGGCTTCAATTCGTTGCGTAAGACGCGAGAGCTGGACAACATGGAGTCACGCTTTGATCCCACCGTGATCCTGCTTCCGAGGGATGGTGAAGTTCCTATTAATTACAATGCTGTCGATATAGATCAGCTGCGTGCTCTCCGAGCTGGCGCACAAGGTCGTTTCTATTCAATCGTGGACTTTCATCGTGCATATAGCAGCGGCCAAACCACACCGAGTGATGTAGTGGAAGCACTGCTCCCCTTAATCCGCCGGGACATTGAAAGTCGATCTCCACACTCCACGGCCTTTGTAGATACTAAAGTGGACCTTGTGCGACGCTCTGCAGAGGCATCGACCAAACGATGGAAGGACGGGAAGCAATTGGGAGTGTTGGATGGCATACCGTTCGCCCTCAAGGATGAAATGGATGCGAAGGGTTACAAACGCTTTTGTGGTACCACCAAGGATATGACGAAGGGAAAAGAGGTGGAAACAAGTTGGTGTGCGAGGAAGCTCGAGGAAGCTGGAGCTGTGCTTATTGGTAAAGTGAACATGCACGAACTGGGAATGGGCAAGTACAGCTTCGTGAGAAGTCCTACCAAATGCTAATACGGCATAGATACAACGAACAACAACCCAAATTGGGGCACGCCATTGAACCCTTACAATAGCAAGTACTATACTGGCGGATCTTCTGGAGGCTCTGCATATGTGGTTGGGTCAGGTATCGTTCCGTTTGCTGTAGGATCCGATGGAGGAGGGTCGGTCCGCATACCTAGCAAGTAAGTCTTGTTACAAAAGGCACCTAATCATAGCATGCGCTCATATCCCCATAGTTATTGCGGCGTCTACGGCCTCAAGCCTTCACATGGGCGGGTCTCTATTGCTCCCACCATCTCACCTGCGAATTCGACCGTTGTTCAAGGACCTCTTGCAGCCAACATGGTGGACCTCCAAATAGCATACCAAGTCCTTGCCCAACCAGACCCATCACATATCTCTTCTAGACAATTTGCTCCCCCAGCATCAGGTCAGGTGCCTCGCACGAAACTCATTGGCATTCCACGAGAATGGTTCGACCGCGCCGATCCAGTCGTCCAAGAAGCCTGCCTCTCCGCAATCCAATACTTCCAATCCGAGCTAGGCTACGAAGTCATCGACGTCTCCATACCGCTCACCCACGAGGGCCAACTCGCCCACGCCATGACCATCCTCGCCGAATGCGCGGCCGCAGAACCCGACCTCTCGTACCTCACGGCGCCGAACAAGATCCTGCTCAAGGTCGCCCAACAGACCTCCGCCACGGATCTGCTCCTCGCGCAGAAGCTCCGCCATCTCCTCATGCAGCACCTCGCGGACTTGTACAAGCGATATCCCGGCATTATCATCGTAACCCCGACGACCCCGAATCCTGGATGGCCCATCGGAGACGGTGACCTGCAGTACGGTGTCAGCAATGGAAACATGCAGGTCAGGAACATGGAGTATGTTTGGCTGGCGAACTTCACGGGCGTGCCTTGCATTCAGTTTCCAGTGGGATATGCGGAACCAGTTCAAGGGGAAGGACGGATTCCGATGGGATTGAGTGGGCATGGGGAATGGGGTAGTGAGGATGCGCTGATTGAGTTTGGGTTTGACGGTGAGGCGTGGTTGAATAAGGGGTATCAAGGTGGAAGACAGATGCCCAAGAAATGGGTAGATGTTTTGGCAAAAGCGGCAGTTTGATCGTGAGGCGAATGTGGTGTAACCTATACGAATTGCAAATTCATGGTGCACATTCTAGGTTGAGAATTGAACAGGGTATTATACAATTATAACTGCAATCTTTGTGTGCACTATCTATCACAAAAATGACACCAATGTTTCCAGCATTTCCCGCTCGGAAGCTTCGACCTCAAGGGCGCCGTCCAACTGGGCTTGAAGGGTCCTCTTGATGTCTCCAAGGCTCTCGTCCCGTTCTGCTAGTGCCTTGACGACGGCGCTCTTCGCGCCATCATCTTCTGCTACCAGCCATGCTAGAATTGCATCTGTACGTTCTAAACAGTACAGTCCCTCGCTCAACCTTAGGGGGATGTTCGTCAGCTCAAGCTCCTCTTGCTCCTCCTTTGACAGGCCTTTAGCTCTCTCTTTGAGACTGGCATCGAAAGCAGAAACGCGGCTGACGTAGTCCCGTCGCAGTGTGACCAATTTTCCAATCTTTTCGTAGTCCTTTTCCAGGAACTTCGCTAGCACCCTAAATCGTGAGTCTGAATTTCCGGGCAGTGATCGCAGCAAAGAGGCGAAAAGGCCAAGTATGTGTTCGGTTGACTCAGGGTCGTGCTTCTTCGTCTTCATGAACGCGCTGAAAAGTGGTTTCAGGCCGCGTGCCTCTACAAGCTTTTCGCAGACTGCTGCCGCTGGATTTGTACCCGCAGATTCCTCAACCGCCTTCTTTCCTTTGTCCTTCGAGGGTGTGCCGTTTGATTGCGCGTTATCAGTCGAGGGTGATTCCGCGTAGCCACAGGCGTGGTCGAGCACTTTCAATGCACGGCTTTTGCTTGTTTTGCCGTCTCGGACCATCAAGAGACACAACTCTACACCTTCGGCTTTCAATAATTCGGCCTTGCCTTCTGTCTCCTCGAGTAGAGAGGAGAGGCAGTTGAAGAGATTCTCCATGTACTCTTCCTCCACGCTTTCCTTCTCTGGGTCGCTCCGTCGATAGGCGGCGAGTTGTGTAAGGAGTGTTTCAACTCCGTTCGCTTCGATCAGGCGTCGCCGGTTTGAGTTGGATGATTGTGTAAGTATCGAGAGGATCTCGGAAGCATAGAGCTTGTTCTGTGATGTGGGTTTCTCTTGTTCCTGAATGCGGTTGAGTAGCCAAGTCAAGAGTTTCTTATCTCGCCCTATTATTTCGAGATTCTTCGAATCCGACAGGAGGTTCTCAAGAACGCTCAGCGAGTGATAAACACCGGACCTATCCGCTTCCTCATTCTCGTCAAACCGTGAGAAATTGGAAACAAGCATGTTGAGCAAATCTGCCTCCAGCATCGTAGCAACTAACACATCCCACTGTTCTTGTTCCGCCACGACATCGTCGTCTGTGAGCTCCGATATGATCTCGATGGCGTCGATCGCAATGTCCGTGTTCTCGTGCACAAGCAATTGGACCAAATTCGAGACTGTATCGCCTTTCACAAACTCCGAGTATAGCTCCGGATGGTCTGAAAGAATACTAATACTCTTAATGCTCTCGTCCAGATCAGCTTCCGATGCCATGAACTTGCTTGGATCATCCTCGTATCTCGCTCGTAGTTCTGCGTTCTTCGTGACCTTCTTGTCGAAAGCAAGCGCTAGTTTTCGCAACCAAGGGACATCGAATTTCTCATCCACTATAGCTTCCTCTTGGTCTTTTGCATCCAGATAGTCTATCGCATCGATCGCATCGTCGTCCAAGCCTCCACCGAAAAATCGGCCCTCCTCGTCGTCTCCATCACCAGGCTCGAAATCTGGTGGTAGCGAAGGTCCAGCCTCGCCATCACTGTCTGCTTCATCAGCTACAGTAGCTTGTGCGGACTGCTTAACATCGCTGTTCGAATTGAGCTTCGCGGATTTGTAGGCTTGCGATGGATCGAACTCTGACGGATTTTCGAATTTGCGTTTCGCGGAGGCGTTATGTCCTTTGAAAAGATCGTCTATGCTTGTCATAGCGGAGGCGCGCTTTGTTAGGGCGATTTGATGGAGAATGTGATTGTGCAAGGTGGAGGTCCGCTGGAGCGATGTTTGCGCATCGCGTTGCTGGGACATCTTCGGTCGTGAAAGTCGAAGTGGCCCAAGCTTCAACTCTAGATGAGTAGAGCTAATCTACATCTGGATTAGCTATATAAGGCCAGCCTCATAGGTCCCCGCGTCCCTCGTAACGTCACTCTTTATGTGCAATGAGGACAACAGAGTGCTGGTAGGCTGAGGGATAGTTCTTGCCTCACCGGAAGGCATGTTGTGTTACCAGACTTCTGAGAGACCGGAATTGCCATGCGCACTCAGCTGTTCAGCCTGATGAACATCAGCGCATTATAACATGGCTCCTAGCCTCCTTCCTTAAACTTACACAGCTTCTTCTGTATAGCGACGCTGAGATTCTTCGTAATGGTTTCTTCTGATATCGAATTACAGGAGGGCTTGTTATCTCATTCGCCTGATGGTGTCTCTGGATTGCATCAGGCTGACGACATTGCGTATACTTCCATAGAGATTCAAAACCCCCCAGCGGTCTCTGCTAGTCCCTCGCCATCGCTTGTCCTGCATTCACCAGCCGTTAACGATGCGAGTTTGCCAACTGCAAATGTTCCACCAGCATCATCGAGCCACAGCAGCAGTACAGCTCTTGCTCATACAGGACAGCCAGGAAAGCAAACCCGCAGGTCTAAGCGAAGCGAGATATGGGAATGGAATATCGAATTGCTGGCTTGCGCAATATTCGTAGCATTCCTCATAGCTTTAGCTGTCACTTTACACATGCGAAACGGGCGCCCACTACCCAACTGGTCTATTAACAGCATACTGTCGTTCTACACAGTGGTTTTCAAAGGCGCACTCGTGTTCGTCATTGGAGCTGCCATGAGCCAGAACCAGTGGCGGTGGTTTCGCAACGAACAATCCCTTCACGACATCGCAAAATGGGACTCAGCTGCTCGAGACCCGGTGGGAGCTGCTTATTGGCTTTTTCACAAAGGTGTTGCCGAGCCAGTGACTGCGCTCGGGGCCATAATCCTTATCGCGGCTGTGTTGGTTGATCCTTTCGTTCAGCAGTTGGTTCAGTACGAAAACTGCTCTACGAATGCTACGCAATCTGCCTTGATGCCTCGAACCAATCTGTACACCCCGCGCTGCATGCACTCAGGGCCTTTGAGCTGTGTGCCACTCCCACCTGAACTCTCAACTTGGACTGGTGGTATGTACTCCCCGCCAGATGCCGTTGTGCCAGTGTGTTCCTCGGGCAATTGCACCTTCGACGCGGAATACTCGACAATCGGCTTCTGTAGTCGGTGTGAAGACCTATCCCAGGACTTGAAAAAGAGGACATCACCCAGTCATCTGGAACACTGTAAAGAGAATACCACGCTCAGTTTGCAAAGTGGATTGTCATTACGTCCATATTGCTATGATACCCAGGGCTCAGAAACAGGTGGTCAACCACTCCTCGCCGCGGGCCACGTCTCAAAACCAACAAAACCAGATCTCCCATATGAGATTATTGCCAAAGCTGGCAGTTGTATAAGTCGAGATTATGGTCCTGGTATAGGCATCACCCCGTGTCGTGACAGTTGTGGTAACGCAACTCATCCGGCCGAGCCCTGGAGATGTCGAGGATATGGAGCTGCTGCTTGTACCATTGGTCCCTGCATCAAGACTTACAACGCCAACATGACCAACGGAGTGCTGAAAGAGACTCTCATTCACCAGACAGGCCCTGGTGAGCATTGGGATGCGAATACCAATCCCCGTCTACGAGCTCTAGTCGACTTGCAATGCGGATCCCAAGCCCAGAAGGACTGGGTCCGGAATAGTGGATTAGCTGTTGGTGATGATGCTCGGTGGCGCGGTTTGAATGTGTCAATGGTAGTACTAGATGCGCTAGATAGTCCGATTGGCTATTGCCCGACAGATGATACCAAAGACGAGGCTTGTCTCCCGGTCCTCGACTTGCTCAAGAGTGGATGCGTATATGCATACGACCAAACTTTTATGACCGCCTTCCAGAGCAGTGTTCTATCTGACTTAACTGGACGAACCAATGGATTTCTTGACGCCCCAACAACAATTTCAAGCTACAACGGGCCTCAGATCCTGCAGCACGTTTACAATTTTGGAAACCTGGAATTTGAGAGGATTGATGCCATCTTTCATAACGCGTCGACGGCTTTTACCAATCACATCCGGAAAACAGGCAACGAGAACTTCAGTGCTCCTGCTGTTGGACTTGTCTCCGAATATGCCGTCTGTGTTCAGATCGAATGGTTATGGCTCCTGATGCCCGGCTTTCTAGCGGTTCTCACTATCATTCTCCTTCTCATCTGTGCACTCTTGACGTGGTTGGATGGGGCGCCAGTATGGAAGTCTTCTCCTTTGGCATTCATGTTGCATTGTGGGATAGGAAGCAGCAGAGCCGGAACTGCTCCGTCATCACAGCAATCTGGAACGTCTCCAGTTCCACAGCAGACCGTGTCGGCCCCAAATTCGCAACAAGCGGGATCAACGTCTTCAACACAGCAGCCTGGGCCAACAACACAATCTTTGCCGAACAGGAACAACGACATGAAAAGATGGGCAAGAACGATTCTGGTGCAGATGGACTACTCAGAGACTTCGATTCGACTGCTGCAGACCAATGCCATACCTCTTCCATCTCATTGGTGGCATCGAAAACCGAAGTCGTAGTAACATGGTATGTTATATCACTCTAGGCCCTCAGTAACAATGCGTAGAATGTTAGGAAATGGAGTCTGTAATGGCGATCGGTACGGGATGGGTGGCGACCACATTGATAGGCGCCCGCATAGCTGACTCGTCAAGTGGGAAAGCAGTAATATCAATAGCTACCAAGCTGCTTTAATTTCTCTCACACGAGTGAGTAGCAAGAAACCCCTGGGGGATGGGGGTCCCATTTTCGGACTCTCGAGCCAGGGCAGGGTGATTACCGGGACATGCGTCTAACAAACTTCGTAGAAATAGGTGGTTTCAAATATTGGAGGAAAGTATCATACAAGATCTGAAAGGTAGAACTGAGGAATCAAATTATAGGTTGCGTAAGTAGTTGAATAATACTGCTCTGGGTCAGAGATGAGAGCACGCTGCAGGACTGTCATTGAAGCTCAGGGAGGTCATACTAAACGGTGAATGGTTGCTTTAGTAATCTGTATAAAAATCAAGTCATTCGTTATTTAGCTAGTTTATTACTAGAGCACGAACTAACGCTACGACGCTTAAGCTGGGGGGTTCTTGTATATCGAGACGGTCTATATTGCAATTGCTTCATTCACTAAGATGCATTTCCTACAACGGCTTCTTCGGTAAGTGTAACACCTTTTAGAGTGTCTTCCGGCCCTTCGTCATCGTCGTCATCATTATCGTCATCATCATCGTCGTCATCATTCGCACCTTTGCCGTAGTACTTTCCGCCTTCGTATCGAACCTGCGAGTCGGAAACTTTTGCCGTTGAGCCAATGCCAAAGAACTCTCGCTTGATGAGCCTGTATTCGACGCCGATGATCTGCTCCCCCGCCGCCGTCGCGTCCAGCGAGCTCTTCGTCGACCTTGAGCCCTCGACGTCCAGCTCGACGGACCCGATCGGCACGGGTACGCCTCCCGTGGCAGCCATCACGGCAGCGTCCACGGGGACCTTGGCCGTCGCCAGCGTCCTCTCGCTCGATCCGGCGCCGGCAGAGAAGCGGGCGTCCTTCCAGATGAGTAGGCCGACCACGAAGTAGGCCCTGCCGCCGATGCGCACGTACTTGGCCAGCTTGTCCCGCACCTCAGGCGTCGCTTTCAGCAGGTCGAAGGTGTCGCCGTGCTGCTGGAGGCGCACCACCTCCAGCGTCTCGCTCTCGAACGAGATGCTTCCGTCGCGTTCCTTCTCTTTCGTCAGGGAGGCGAGGGAGGTCATCAGCGCCTTGGCCGTGGCCTGGGAGGAGGAGCTCAGGACCGATGTAGCATCCCTGAGGCCGGAGCTGAGTGGCGGGGCTGGAAACGCGACGTTGTTCTTGGGGATGCCGTTTGGGGTGTAATCTGCCGTTGGGTTCGCATAGTTCTTCACGATTCGACCGAGCAGGTTGTCGCGTTGCGAGATGGGTAGGCCCGGAGGCTTGAGGAAATAAAACTGTGGCTCATTTGACATCGTGAGTGTCTAGAGACTACCCATTCTTTTGCCTTCTGCTTCTGGTCGACTTCAAGTATCAGCAAAGCTTTGAGCCTCGAGTAGGTGAATTGAGACTCTTTTGCAATGGCTCTGGGAGGCTTAAATGTCACGGAGGCGTTCAATATTTGCTTTTTTGTTGGAGAATTGTCGCAAATGCTCAGCTCCTCCTACTGTGTAAGTACGTGACTTTCAGCCGCACTTTAGCGCCTTTCCGCTGCACCGTCTGCCATATCTCGAGATGGGAGGCGAGCACGAGAACCTCATTTTCATAAATCAACTTTCATACTGATGATCATTACTCCATTTTTTATCTGCTCAAATGGGGTCGGTTACGTTAGAAATCGTGCCTCACCCGACGCCACCAGATTTTACCATTGACGCGCCGTCCTTTATCGTGACCGTGACCGTCACTCAAGGAGATCGACAGTTGGAGCAGAAAACCATTACAGTCCGCAACAAAGCGCTTTGCGATTCGAAGAATCGAGAGACAATTCGGTGGTTCCTCGAAAAGCATGCGAGCGATGACCCATTCAATCTTTCCAGGGCGGATGAAGCTCGCCGTTTACTTGATGAATTGAAGTTAAGTCTGGCAGAAGACCTTGCTGTCCTGACAACTCTGCACGGCACCAACTCGACAATTTTAAGGGTGAGATTTTACATGAATTCTGATGGCAAGATCCCTCTGGCCGCATATCCCTGGGAAGTGCTCGAAGACAAATTGGTATGGGCATGGTGTGAAACCACTTTTGACTCATGCTCAGTTGAACGGATTGTTCAGCTATCGGAGGCGATTCCAATCCAGCCAACACAGCACCATGAGGAGGTCTCAGGAGAAATTCTTAATATTCTGATGGTCACTGCTCGCCCTGCTGGCTCCCAGGATGTTTCGAGCAGTCTTGTGTCATGGCCACTGGCAAAACTCATCTCCAAATATCCCGGAGTGAGCAAACGAGCGGCCCTGCGTGTCATTAGACCTGGAACTTGGCGTTGCCTGTTGTCGGAATTGGAAGCAGCGAAGAAAGGTTTTTATCAGATTGTTCATCTCGACATGCATGGTCAGGTCGAGGAAAACCAGTAAGTATATCAGCCTTCCTCGAGATACTTATTCCCCCCCTCAACATGATGATTAGAGGCTAAGTTAGACACCTGCAGATATACTCTCAACTTCCTCCGTAGCAAAGGCAAGAACAGATCACGACCACACAAGGTCAAAGCCGAGGAGGTTGCTCGAGCTTTGGCGACACATGGCGTCCAGGTTGCCGTCGTCAACGCGTGCGAATCGTCCAAAGTCTTGGACGACGGCAGCCTGTCTGCTAATTTGGCAGACGTCTTCATTCGCAACGGCCTCGGCGCGGTTGTCGCCATGTCCTTCAACGCGATGGACTCGAGCACAGAGTTTTTCATTGGTTTCCTGTACCTTCATCTTCTGGTGTATGGGGAGAGTCTTGGAGATTCAGTCACAAGCGCGAGACGCCAACTCCAGGAAACCCAGCAGCGGGAAGCAACGCTCGGCCAGAACATTGAAATCACAGACTTCTTTGTCCCGACATTGTACAGCAGCTCCAATTTTGACTCTCGCCAATTTTTGGCCCCAAAAGAACCGGACAATGTCGAGTCCAAGTCCATTGGGGAACTGATGAACATCATGATGGGATACATGGACTTTTTGGTACCATCGGAGTTTGTCGGTAGAGCTTCTGATCTTTTGGAGCTCGAATCCGTGCTTGAGATCTGCCCCATCACTCTTCTCCACGGCCCAGGCGGCATAGGCAAGAGTGCCCTGCTTGGGCGCTTGTCATGGTGGTGGAAAGCGTCTGGGCTCGTACAAGATGTTATACACATTGATTTCGATCCAACGGAAAGGCCACAGCTCGACCCAACCGGGGAAGACTTGTCGAGAAGCGATCAGATCGTGCTGCTGGTTGACGACATAATTGCAAATCCCGATTCCAGTCGGGAAGAGTCAAAACATTCGGTCATTTCTTACTTTCGCCTCCACCCCTGCGTTTTGATCTTGGACAGTCTAGATATTTTGGCCAGTCGCGATGCTGAGTCGCAAGAGAACATACGTCATTTTCTGGAGATGCTTGTGGACGAGAATGGACCAGGATTCTCACCAGGAAATTCGTTTGTTCTACTCTCGAACCGGCAATCAACGGTATTCGGATGGAACGGCCATGATGAAATTGGAGGGTACAGTCTTGGGGGCCTTCCGCTGATTCATGGCATCCAGTACGGAGTCAGAGTTCTCTCCGACATGTTTGCCCGCCGCGCTCAATTGTACGACGATTTCGAAACTAAGATGTACCTGGAACATCTGGTGACCATTGTGTCTGGGAATCCTCTGGCAATCGAGATGGTCTTTCCTGCGCTGGGATATCCCGGTGCTACTCCACGATCCGTCTTCGAGAAGCTTCTTACTGGCTCTGTCCTTCCATCAGCCGAAGATGATATCCACGAAATGGTTGCAAAACAATGGAAGGAAACTAAGAAGGGACTTGGCTCGAGATTCTTTGCCGACATTACAGCGTTCCAGCAAGACTGGCGCGCTTCCGCTACTGCATCAAGTCAAGTGATGGGATGTTTTGACTTCTTGTTGGGTTTTTGGAATGGCATGTTCCCGCGGGTCATTGATCCCCAAGCTGTCATGTTCATGGCTCGACTGGGTTCCAAGGATGACCTGTTCTGCCGTCGATTAGAAGCGCAGATGATCAACGAAAAATCCATCGAGGATATCAAACTTCTGGATGCAGACGAAGTTGACGAAAAGTTGAGAAACCTCGAGCAAAAGGGGTTCATCTTCCCTGTCGATAAGGAGACTCTTGTCACGGAGAAGTATAGTCCAGAGTATTATAAGATCCATCCTGTCTTGACAATCTGGCTTCGAAGCTACTTCCAAGTTTTTTCAAAGGAGCTCCCACAGAACTTTGACTTGGCTATGACGATTGTGGATTACCGATTTATCTGGGAGGCGCATCATGTCAAACGTACGATGGCTCGAGTTCCAAAACATCTGCATGATTATCAAAAAATCAGGGCATTGGAGGACAATGGACGATGGAACTTTGTGGCCGCTGTGATTATTGCTCAGAACCACTTGAAAGATCAAAAAATTCTAACACCAACGCTATCGCCAGTATCTAGACTGATGATCTCACTGTCATCTCTTATGAACCGTTTCCCGGACCTTGGAATGGTTCTACGACCATACCTTGTCGCAGATTTGGCTCGTCATGTAAAATCCTCTCTCCTGACGACCAACGAGAGCGTCCTCTACTCGGCGATGAAACTGGCTTTTGCGATGAAATACGGCGCCCCAATCGCAGACTGGGAGTGGATTGAACACACATTGGACGCTGTTGAGTTTTACCGCTCCCAAGGGAATACCTACAGCGGTCACTTGGAGATTTCGTACATGGAAACGAAGACATTCCGAGCGGTTCACACTCTCGACATGGACCCTGCCCATGCTCTTGAGATGTTCAAGAGCAATCTCCGGTATGAGCCTTGCAGCAATGACGATGCAATAGGTTCTATCCGAAGAGATGTGCTGAAGAACCTCAACTACTGGGCCATGGCGAAAGCTCTTGTGGACCACGGAGATGCCAAGTCCACGTCCAAACCCGAGGACTGGGCGTGGGCGCAAGACCTTGACAAGAAAGAACTTGCCGAGTGGAAGAATGACCAGGTCCATGAATTTTGGTCTGGCAAGGTGAAAAACTCTATTTGGTTCAAATTTGTAAAGCCAGAAGACACGAAATTCTTTAGCTCGTTCGCGAAAAACATCTACAACAACAGTCAGCTCGATGCCATCTCAGATCTTGCGCCTGATAAAGAGAAATTGACGGCCTATCACAACGAAGGTTTGGAGAATTTTCAAAATCTGCCAGAGTTTGTCGCGCTCATGGCCGGGGTGAAACTCGCAGGAGGCAACACCGAAAAGGCGCGGAGCGAGTTTCGACAAGGAATGGAAAAGCAGCTCAGGTCGACAAACGACTCGCCTGCAAACTTATTTCTGCACATGGAGCTGTACAAGATTGCCATCAAAGAACAGGAATGGTTGACGGGTGCGCGTCACCTCGAGCTGATATGCAAACTCAGCCCAAGCGGTCCCGTCTATTCGACATTGACCCGTTTGGCTCAATGCTACGAAAAGGGAAACCGACCTGCTCAGGCCAGGCAGGCGGCGCTCGCGGCGCTCGATTCAGCGAGATCCCATCCCTCGACTCCGCCGGCGATGAGATCACACAGCTTGTACAGCTGTCGCTTGCAGCTTTTCAACATGCTGGCGGGCATTCGAGAGTTTTGGTACGTTTTTCCCAAGTGGCCACGGGCCAAGGGAGAGACTTCCGACGACGACGACAAGCTGAATTGTATCATAATGATTGATCAAAACCTTCGCTATCTGCACAGTCCAGCCATGAAAGACAGCTATTTGCCCAAAGCTGACGGTGAGCCGTTCAAGATGCTCGCTTCGGGCGTGCATTCGTACCTCTACCAGTTCGAGTCGATGGATTCTGGGAAGGCAACTGTTCCGAGTGAAGTCTCAGACGAACTCTTTGCCATGGCGACCGAAATCAACCGCCTCTTGGTCGAGTGGGAAAAGACTTTCAAGCTGAGCGAGGTGCCTTTGGAAATGCACTTGGAAGCAGAGCTTTGCTGTTATTCTCGAAAGAAGCCGACGTTGGTGAAGATGGCCGGATCTGCATGGGCCAAACAGATGATCGAGAGGAGAATGGGCCTATCAGATTAGCTATGGGGCTCGAAAGTTGGGAAAGACGCCCATGGGAGAAACCTTTTTGATGTCACATCGCTAATGGATACTACTGGTAGCATAGGGGTTGCATGTGCCATCTATGGTGTTCGGAGCCACATACTCATGTTTATGGGCCAAGTTTTTTCTTTTCTTTCAGTTCCAAGCTGTAAATTTGTTGAGTGGCTGCTTAGCATTTGAAGCATAATATGTTCAGCAAATGTATGAAACTACCATCAAGAATGGCAATTGGAGAGGACTACCGGGCAAATGGAATCGTTCTGCCACTCGGTGTGCTCCAAGAAGTGCGGACAGGCCGCATCAAACCCGTCTTCGGCCCGGGCATGCAATCCGCCATGTACAAAGCTCCCGTCGTCGGACGGATAAAGGTCAACAAGCTCGGCTGTGAAGGCGACCAGCAAGCCTTCCACAACCACGGCGGCGTGGACAAGGCGCTTCTGCAGTACTGCTCTTCGCATTACGACGATTGGAGGGACGAGCTCATACATATATGGCTGGGGTGCAATATGCAGCAACGCCACGACGGCAAGGACCCCGACCAATTAAGCAACCAATCAACCTCATGGGCCCAGAAATGGTCAGCCGTAAGGACAGCCTGACCCGTGACAACACTCTTCTTGTGTGCAATGAGGACAACAGAGTGCTGGTAGGCTGAGGGATGGTTCTTGCATCAGTGGAAGGCGTGTCTGCGGGGGCTGTGCCAGGCTGATACCTTCGCGGGCGCGCTGCTTTGACAAGCTGCCTTCACAACCCACTACGGGCATTATGATCCTCTGACTACTTCGGCTGTCTATCATCGCATTGCAGCTATCCTGATTAAACTAAGGAAGCCCATTGCTCTCGTCTTTTGCCTTTTTCTTGCCCTCAAACAAGATTGCCGTCATGCGACTTCTCCATCTCGATGCTTCTGGGAGACCTGTCTTGACAAATTTCCACGGGAAGCCTATCCCGCCATATGCCATCCTTTCGCATAGATGGGGAGATTCAGAGCTTCTATTCGAGGACCTAGGGAGCGAGGCCTATAAAGAGAAGAAGGATGGTTATCAGAAGCTGAAGTTTTGCGCTAAACAGGCGGCTGAAGACAACCTCCAGTACTTCTGGATCGACACATGCTGCATCGATAAATGGAACAATCGCGAGCGGTCAAGAGCGATTAACTCGATGTTTCGTTGGTACAGAAATGCGACAAGATGCTACGTGTTCTTATCAGATGTTTTGGTACCTACTGCGACAGACACATATCAATGTAACGAGTGGGAGGCAAGCTTCCGAGCGAGCGAATGGTTCACTCGAGGCTGGACACTTCAGGAGCTGATTGCGCCAGTATCAGTTGAGTTTTT